ACAGCCCTGGGGCTGAGGGGTGCTCATAGCGGGGCCATGTGACTCGGCCTGGGCCCAGGAGGGGACACCTGTCCTTCTGTCCGTACTTGGGGTGGGATGCAGCCTTCCTCTTCTCTCCTTGCCTGGGGTGCTTAACTCTGAGAAGCCCCACCCTCCCACCCCCAATCTGTACTTGTTATTGCTCCTTGCTCAGGCAGGGAGGGGCCCGGACCACTTGAGTCAGCGTGAATTTCGAGTCTGTCCATCTGTCCCCTTGCCCCTTTCCCGCCCACCAGCACGTGTCCCTCTGTGGGAGAGCCCACACTAAAAGCAGGGGACCCTAGCATTTCTGAAGCTAGGGAAGCTAGAGGAACCCCTGAAACTATTGCTCTGAGACCCTCTTTAAACCTTTAACAAAGATGTCCCCTGCACTCTTTAAAAAACTAAGCCACAGTTCAGCTTGACTTGTAAAAAGCAGTGTCTGCCCTGAACGCTGTTCTCTGTGAAGAACTCTCCACACGGAATCGGAGTGATGCCGGGCAGCAACTGGAAAGAGGAGACAGGAGCCCTGGTGGCGTCGTGGTTACATATTGGGCTACTAACCCCAAGGACAGCAGTTGGAGTCCACCAGCCGCCCTGCTGGAGAAAGACGAGGCTCTCTACTTACGGTCTCGCAAACCCACGGTGGCAGTTCTACCCTGTCCTCGGGTCCCCGTGAGTCAGAATTGCCTGGCTGGCAGGGAGCTTGAGTTTTAGGAAGCAAGGGGTTTATGTTGACAAGGGAGGGTGAGACTGGCCCAATGTCACTTTCTAGAAAATTCCAATACATCCTCTCGCTTTTATCACAAAGTGTGTGGCCGAAGGAAAAACTTTCCTTTGTGTGTGTGTGGTGGTGTGGAGGGTGGGGGTGGAGGGAGGCCCTAAACTCTTGGCCTTAAAGGAGGGAGCTGCGGGGCTCAGTGCTGCGTGTCTTGGGGGTGCAATACAGAGTGTGGCAAGGGCATTCCTGGCCGAGAAAGCACCTGCAGCCAAAGGCTGAGCGGTTGGCTGCAGGTCTCTCTGGAGGCTGTGTTGTAGGTGGAGGCCATGGGGTGGGGGTCCCCGAGGGGCCACGCCCCTTGACTGGAGTGCCCGCACGGCTTGTTTTCCAGAACCCCTACTCGGCCTTCTTTAAGATAGACAAGGACCGGGACGGCGTCATCAGCATGCAGGACCTGTACGGGCTGCTGGCCCACCTGCAGTTCAACCTCAAGCAGGAGGAGTTCGTGCGCTTCCTGGAGTTGCTCGGCCTGAGGCTCAGCGTCACCCTCAACTTCCGGGAGTTCCGCCACCTGTGCGAGAAGGGCACCCACAGGGCGGACGAGGCGCCCCAGAGGCTCATCAGGTAAGGAGGCCGCGCCCAGCGGGTTCACCCAGGGCGCCCCAGAAGTGGACCAGAGCGGAGCTACTGTGCCTCCCTGCTCTCCATTCCAGGCGACCCCACTGGGCCTGCTGGGCCGCGGGGTAGATCGCCAGGTCTTTCCGCCGTGCACCTCTGGGTGGACTTGAACCTGTAACCTCCAGTTAGCAACTGAGTTGTGCTCTCCATTTGCACGGCCCCAGGGGCCCCAGGTTTCCCCGTGCCTGTGCGTGCACACGGATGAGAAAACAGCGACCATCCCCTCTGGGCAGCGTCCTGCGCCGTCTCCGATACCTATCAGTACACACACAGCGCCGATGGGTTTCTTCTCATACACCTGGGCCCAGGGGTCTGCTTTTCGCTCAGCCTTTTGAGAACAAAGCTTCCAAGGCCTCCGTGCAGGCCTGTGCACAAGGTTTCAGCTTCTGATGCGATGCCCACTCTGGCCCTATGCCGCCGTCCAATGCTTTCCGGCCCGGTCCGTGCCTACCAGAAGAACACAGAACCTTCCTCCAGGTCCATGCTGCCTCCAGGCAGGAAGCCAATGAGTAGGCGACCCCAGGGCCACAGAGGACAGCTGGCCCCGTCCCCTGCTTCCAGAGGCGCAGGAGCCTGCCTTCGACGAACCAGCTACAATAATACCAACCTTTGACTGAGGCACCAGCATGTGGTGCGCTGGTGACACCGCGGGTGATGGGTTGGGCTTCAGTCCACAAGGTCAGCAGTTCATAACCCCCAGCTGCGCCATGGGAGAAAGATGAGGCTTTCTACTCCTAGAACGAGTTACAGTCTCAGAAACGCCAAGGGGCAGTTCTACCCTGTCCTGGAGCCTCACTGCAAGTCAGAATGAACCAGATGGCTGTGGACATGTTTGTTTGGGGGTCCCCTTTACCATGCACAGTGTCCTTTTCCAGGGACTGGTCTCTCATGACATGCCAGAGTGTCTGAGACGAAGTCTGGCCATCTTTGCTTGTGGTTCACCTTATGTTGTCCTTGTTGCTGTTAGGTACCATTAAGTCCCCTAGGACCCATAGCAACCTCGCCGGGTCCTGCACCATGCTCACACTCGTTCCCACGCCTGAACCCGTTGACGCAGCCACGGGTCAGTCCATCATGTTGAGGGCCTTCCTCTTTCGCTGCCCCTCTACTTGACCAACAAGCATGTTGTCCTTCTCCAGGGACCGGTCTCTCCTGACAACAGGTCCAAAGTGTGCCAGATGATGTCTTCCCACCCATGCCTGTAAGGAGCACTCTGGTCTTACTTCTTGCAACACTGATCGGTTTGTCCTCCCAGCACGGCCCTTCCAACCTTCTTCCCCAGCACCCCCATTCAAAGACCTCGATGCTTCTCTGACCTGCCCTGTTCAAGGTCTGGCTTTCGCATGCCTGTGAGGCTTCACCAGGGACCCCTTGGATACGCCTGGCCATCTTTGCCCCTGACCTTGCAGGCCACCTGACGTGTGGTCATCGTCGTGGCCATGGGCCTCCAGTTGACTTGGTTACTCAAGAGCAAAGCGGAACAAAACAATCTTCCCAGAGAACTTTTTCCTTCCTTCCCCTCTCTCTTTCCTCTCTGCGGATAAGGATTGGAAGTTTCAAGGACAAGGCTCAGTCCCTCAGTCAAAGGGCTCCACCTTCTCATCGCATCTGTTGGTATTTGCTGAAGGTCAACTGTGTGGGCCTCCGACTCCCTCTTGGAGGAGCTCCCAGGTGGATGAGAGGTGGGCACAGGGGGGACAGCTCCATGGAAGTGGAGGGATGCTGAGTGAAGCCTGTCAGTCCTGGGTGGGCCTCTGTCCACGTGGGCAGTCAGCCTGATGGCATCTAGAAAGGTTAGATGAGAGGCTCGGGGGCCACCGAGTCTGGGCTGGTGGCAGGAGGGTGGGTGGGGGAGCCATCTGCAAAGGAATGGAGAAGAAGGAAGGGTGATGCCACCTGAGGGCTGTGCCCACTGTCACCCAATTATACAGGAAGAATTTGCTGAAATGCTAGATCCTTTGCTAAGTACGTTTTCACACAAACTCACACACACAAACCAGTACAATTACAAAGAACAGAGGGAATGCCTGAAGGGCTGAGTGGGCTCCAGGTGCTCAGGGGATGTGGAGACAGCTAAACTGGGTCTTGACGGGTGAGCAGGAGTTTATCCCACGCAGCTATGGGAGAGGCTGTTCAAGATGTGCACCCAAGCACAGGGATTATGTTGCGTATACTTTGGGGTAACGGGAAAGGATGAGAGTCCATGGGGGTGGGGGACACAGTGACCAGGAGACCTGGGGTGACAGGAGGACCTGGCTGTGAGGGGCTAGCTCCAGGGCCCCACTGAGGAACTTCATCCTTTATCCATAGGCAGACCCCAGCGAGGAGGTCACTGCTGGGCTTTGGCGAGACCCTCTGGAAGCCCCCAAGTGGAGGATGGGATGAGAGGGGAGGGTACAGGCTCCAGGGACCTGGTCTGAGAGCCGACGAGGGTATGAGTTAGAAAGCCAAGCCCTCTCACGGGACAGACCCTGTGTTTCACGAAGCCGTGTCCCTCTGACGTCCTTTCGTAATTACTGCTGCCCAGTTTTCCGGATGGAGGAGTTGTGGCTGAGAGAAAAGCGATGCTTTGCCCAGAAGGGCACAGCTGCCAGGTGATGAGGCAGGAACTTGAACCCAGGTGCCCTTTGGGAGGGGGTGTTTCTCTTTCTGGAGAACTGGTCTTCTTTCAGCCACCCCATCTTCTTTCCAGGAGCCCTGGTGGGATAGTGGTTATGTGTCGGACTGCGATCCATAAGGTCAGCAGTTCAAAACCATGAGCTGCTCCTCAGGAGAAAAACAGGGATTTCTACTCCCCTCAAGAGGGACAGTCTCGGAAACTCACCAGGGCAGTTCGACCCTGTCCTATGGAGTCACTACAAGTGGGCATTGGCTCAGAGGCAGTAAGTTTCTGATTCGGTCCTCTTTCTACCCAGCTAACCTGGAGGACACCATCGCTTCCCACAAAGCCTTCCTGTGGGCCTCTCTGCCCTCTCAGAATTCATTTAGCTCTTGCATCAAAGAAATAGAACACTTCTGGGATTTTCTGAGGGTTCAAACTTGTGCAGAAGAGAGGGTGGCTGTCGTGTTTGCATCTTCCCTACAAAACGCTTGTATTTTGAGATTTATAAACACCAACCCTGACTTGGAAGAAGTACAGCCAGAATGCACCTTAGAGGCCAGAACGGTAAGACTTGGGCTCGCATACTTTGGACAGGTCGTCAGGAGAGACCGGTCCCTGGAGAAGGACTCCATGCTTGGTCAAGTGGAGAGGCAGGAAGAAGAGGAAGTCTCTCAACAAGCTGGATTGGCCCAAGCATAAGAACAATTGTGAGAGCAGCACAGGACCTTCTGTGAGACAGAGGGTCGCTGTGAGGTGGAACCAACTCAAACCTGACAACAACAACGACAACGACAGCCACACAACTCCAATACAGAGCCCGAGACTTGCTTGATTTCGACATCATCCGTTCTTTTCCGCTCACCCCGCTGAAAGCACACCTGCTCACCAACCCTAACAGGTCCGCTTCACGGAGCACAAGCAGCGCGAAGGATGGAAGAACACGCCCCCCACCCCGTTACATATCCGTTTAGCAAAATCACATGTCCCTGGTTCTTTCCGCAAATGGCGCAGGTCCAGTCCTTCCTGTGGAGCGAGGAGCAGCGCGAACTCTCCAGGGTTCCTTTGTCCCTTTAAGGATCCATCGCCCGCTCCTCAGTGGTTGAGGGCGAGAAGCAGCATCCAGGCTATCGCCATCTCGCCGACTCAGAGGTTGTGCTCAACGACCAGCCTCCCCATCATCGATGAATCTAGAAGGTGCCTTCTCCGCCTTCCCCTTCCGATTCTGTTGATCTTGGCGTGGCATCCCTTCCGTGCATTTTCTTCTGTTTCCTTACAGAGTCTCGGTCTCGGAAACCCACCAGGCAGTGCTCAAGGTCGCTGTGGGTCGGCATGCAAGGTGTGCAGACAGGTCTCACCGACCTACCTGGCATCTCCATGAGAGACTCTGCCGCACCTGGGGCGGTGCAGTGAGAGAAACAGTGCTCACGGAGAAATAGCAGTGCTGTCTTTCAGCCATTTGCTATCCTGTGAGGCAAATTCATCTGTTTTGTTTACGTATTTTACTTTCGCTTCTCTTTCTCTTTTTATCAGAGCTGGAGACTATTGATGAGTAATGATTCAATGCGGCTTAGGATCGTTAAATGGATCATGCCAAAATCAGGATCAAGCTCAGTGTAAGACCTCAGAATGTATTGTAGCCATACAAAAGGACCTGGTGAACCTACAAGAACCTGTAGGAGTTGGGCTGCTAACTGCAAGGTTGATCATTCCAAGCTATCAGCGCTCTGTAAGAGAAAGCTGGGTCTCTCTACTCCCATAAAAATTTACAATCTCAGAAACCTACAGGGGCAGTCTACTCTGTCCTATAGAGTCAATGGCAGTGAGTGGCAATTGCAATAGAACAATATGGCAATTGCAATAGAACACCCCCCCCACACACACACACACACACAAAGAACACAAACCAAGCCAAAGAGTCAACTCCAAGTCTTAACAAACCTACACAGGTGTCCCGAGGCTGTAGATCTTCGCAGGAGTACAAAGCCTCATCTTTCTCCTGTGGAACAGCTAGTGGGTTCGAACTGCTATGGCTCTGTGGTTAGCAGCCCAACAAGTAACACGCCGGGCCACCGGGACTCCCAATCCACAACACAGTATGACTTTTATTCTACTAAGAAAACAAATTGATTTTTCCTTTCTATTTTCTGGGGGACCCATGACTATACTAGATCATAATTTTGATATCAGGTAATTCTGCCTCATAAAAGTCGGTCCCTCCTCTTCTATTTTGGGATTGTATAGAACCCCCGAATACTTACAGAGTTCCACAGTAAAATCACCGGTTTCGGGGGTTTCGTTGAAGGAAGATTTTTAAACTCTTAATTCAATTTGTTTAGGAGTTAAT